TAACGAGTGAGCAATGCCAATGCACCAGTTACAGCGTCTCTGCATAAGACAAGACTGCCACTTCTTCTCTCGGTATATCTGTGTTGTCGCCTGTCTTTCTTTGTTTCGTTTTGCTTTGACCCTCTTATTGCCACCACAGGAGCGCGGACCATGAAACACATAAAGAGCTCTTTTTCCCTCTTATGAACTGTGTTTCACTCTGTGTGTGTTCTGTTGGGCACGAAAGCACCTCCCTCTCACCATGTTGTTCTCAGTGATCATGGAATACTATGTTAATTGGAAGTGGTAGAGAATTTACCTCACACCCACACACACACACACACACACACAACACACACCCCACACACTATCCAGTGTATCCACTATATTCATGGGGGCCACACAAATTTTATTTCAATTGTACTCCATCCAGCAGCAGCAAGCAGCAACCTTGTTTAGTGGCAGGAACCGGGTTGATATGGCGTTAAGCCGTGAGGCTTGAAAGACTTGCCAGTTTTGTGTGTAATCTCAAAGAGAAAAAAAAACACAAAAAACACACACATCTAAGGCTGCACTTAGTTGTTGAAGTGTCTCCCCACCCCAGCACCCCAAGATCGTCATGAGGCCTACCTGATCTTCTGACTTACTTAACGGCTACTCCAATCGGATAAAACCTATTTAGTGTAAGTTCAGACAGTCAGAGCTGAGTCTTTGTGAAATTGGGCAGGAGTGTGAAAAGGCAGACAGACTGACAGACAGACCAGACAGGACGAGGACGATGTGGGACATGTTGAATCAAACATGGTGGCGGAAAATGTTAGAGATCAGCTTTGTCGGGTGTTTGGGTCCGGACAGAATAAGAGAAGTATGACCCAACAATAGGGTTCAGAGTGCAAGGGAATCTGATTAGAGTCCAAAATCGTTCTGAGTGAAAAGGAAATAACTAATTGTTCAGTAACCAGACGACCATTGCACCATTTAAGTATCTCGCAGACTGATATGGGACATAATAGCTACAGTAGCCGCCAAATTGACATGAGACAAGGTCTAAATGAACAGTCCCAACAAACTACATACCTGCATGCGAAAAACTATATGCATGTACTATTGCAGATATAGTACTATATGCTGTTACTATGTACACAAAACATCTTTATAATCTGTTGTGATTATCTTTCTTTACGCTCTTCCAAAAGATGAATTATAATATTTTAAGGTGATACATAAAACTTTAAACTACCTATTCCGCTAACTATTAGAGGTATTTGCACGCCATAATGTATGTTATACATACCCATTAATTCAAGGTTGAACAAACCTAACTATTTGTTTGATTATTTGATCAGATACCCAGGCAGATATACTATTGCAACATACAAAAGCACACGTGTTGATAGGAGGAAATTAGCTTGAAAGCTATGATTGTTAGTAACCTTCTCTACACTATAGCTTCTGAATAGCACAGCTGGTCTTAATCACCTGTGTACACTATAAGGGTGGTCACCTTTGTTACACACACCCAGACATCAGCGATTTGCCAAAAATCATTGCTTAACGCATTGCAATGTATTAATAGCACAGACGCAGATGGTGCCATACTCACAGACGGTCAATATGAGTCAGGCGCTCTGTGACACTAGGCCAGGTTGTTGATGCAAAGCCAGATAGGTTTATATAACCAACAGTGTGATAGATCTTGAACGGGAGCACCCGTGAAAGGGCTTTTGGAAGTCTTTACTTGTTTGTTTGAATATGGTGGCCTATATTTATTTAGGGAGTGGGCTTTCTAACGCAAATAATAATTCTTCGTCTCGTATCCATGTGGGTGCACTCCTACTGGCCATCCATTAAATCCTGGTATGTTTGTTTTTTTTCCTAGAATGTGCGTATAACTGCACCCACCAAAACACGCTTTTAAGATAATGCATGAAAAAGTCATCTGATGGTGCCGCGCTGACTAGTGTCAGAGGGAGCGGAGGCGTCCGGGCCCGCCTGGGAATACACCAAAATCGCCACAGTTCAGAGTCCCAGGCACAGAGACCCAACAGCCCCGATCCAGTAGCCAAAGCCAGAGACAAGGACGGACGAGGGCGATTAGCGCCCACGTGAACCAACCCACTTGTCCCATTCAACATCTGCTTTAAATACTCCACCACAGACAGTACCCTTATGTTCACGATGTATGGGAGACGAGTTGTGTCGTCCACCACCATACGATTAAGTCCCCGATCACAGTCCTACAACGCGAGAGTTATAGTTTAGAAAGCAAAGAATCTCCCAAAAACAACTCTGTTAATCATCTTTGTGTGAATGATTTTTCAGATAATCCATTTTTAAAATTAATTTGGTAGCTTTAAGTGCACCTTCCACTTCAAAAGAGGGTGTTTGGTTATTAAGGGTTTTTTGTTGGGTACTCACATTAGGAAGTGAAACTAAACTGTGCAGAATGTGTGACTGCGCATGGTTCAGTCAGCAACGTTTTGATTCTAAAGGCTTAGTGTTAGCACGTGATCTGCATGCCGAAGATGTAAATCTCCTTTACACTGAGCTTCACATAAGTAAAAATCCACCAGAGCAACTCCTAAGACATGTGAATGTTGAAAAGTTGGATACAGTGTGATGGACAAGGTTACAAACTAGTTCTGGAAGCCCCCTCCTGGGTTCTAGTATGCACAAGAAGATAATCTATAGAGGCTGGTGCTCAACTGATCTCCTGATATGTGGGGAACAGAATCTTCTCTGAACTGGCCCACATTAAATCTAGAATGGTAGAGACATGTGAGGGTTTCAAGACAGTGTAGGTGGACCACTTACAAAACTGTAGGTCGGCTTGGAAACCACTCGTGGTTCCAGCCGTATTGCAAGTGTAATTGGAACCTGGAAAGGCTTCCAATAACACTGAGAGACGGACTTAGTTTCAGTGAATATGAAAAAAAGAAGTGTCCTAGTAGAGCTGCAACCATATTTTACCTCACGTGTCCATTTAATTTAGGTGATTGACAGGAAAAATGGAATTCTCAATAATTGACCATTGAATAATTCAAGATAAAATTTCGATTTAAGGCCTATAATGTTCTAAGCAGAAAGTGCCAGAATCTTGTCTGGTTCCAGTTTCTTATTAAATAATCAAGTTGATTTGAACCCTTTTTCTACTGTTTTCTATCATTGTATAAACCTGAATCAGAACAGTCTGTAGTCTAATGTCTTTAGTAGTTTTACAATACTTGGGAGTGACATGAGACAAGTATTTTTAACATAATATCCATTGAGATCTTCTGGATTGGGTTGTCCATATAGATTACTGTGAACTTTGAAATTATGGCTGCTCTGTGGAAAAATACCGGACGATCCAGATTTTTATTTGAGGTGCCTGTGGATTTGATATAGAGGCATAAAAATTAATTATCCAAGATTGTTGTTTTGTTAATTGTGAAATTCTAATGAATTCCAAGATTTCCAATATACAACATGAAACTTTAGTGTCCATTTTGTGCCTTGCCACACATAGGAAATTCATGTGTCGTTGTACCTCAGAGAGTCAATGTTCAAGTATTATAAAAACACACAAGGAAGACATAAATCTATCTATACAAAGACAATTTTATTAAAATCGCACGTAAACCGTCCTAAAAGTGTAAATTTGCATTGTGGATATTGCACATGCATCATTGCCATATTGTATATTGCACAGGCCCCGGAACAACATAAAAATAATATAATATGATATATTAATAGTGCAAAGTTGCATTATAAGTGGATTGCACAGGTATATTGCACAGGCCGGGAGACAGTAGTTTTCATTTTGTTTTGGCCAAGAGTCTCCTGTGGCAGGAAGAAAGCCTTTATAAAGCGTGTTCTGTTTGTAATGATGCTGTCCGCTCGTCTGTGCCTGAGGTTGTAGTGCCAGTTTTTTGTGTTTGAGCAGGGAGTGAGCTAGATGTAGTGTGTCCCTCTAATGATTCTCTCTGCTCTTTTCTGACAGCCTGCGTGAGATTGTGTCCATGGAGGGGACGTTCTGTTCTAATAATCCCTCTCTGCGTCTTTATGACCCTTTGCAGAGCCTTCCTCTTCTGTCTGTGTGTGTTCCATACCAATACAGTGATGTCTGTTGGTGAGGGATGCTCTCTATCAGTTCCTTTGAACCTG